AATCTTGTACTTAATCTTGACTACTAAAAATTTTATAGAATAAAAAGTTACCAAGTAGAACTTATTATCTGCTTCTGTTTGTGACAAAAAAACATCTATAATAGAGCTTGATGCATTTGTTTTTATAAAAAATACCTTCAAAAAGTCAATGAATATAAGATTGATAGAGTAATAAATGTTGTTTTTAAGGCTTCATAAGATGTTTCAATTTTTTTTTCCCACTTAAATTTGTCTTTATATGTGAGGTGTGTAGGAAGAGCAACAACTTGAAAAAAATTCTTAATAAAGATCTAGTTGTAATTTGCAAACTCTAAAAAATATTCCTTATCCATATTTGTTTTTGGAATCTTCTAGTTTATGATAGTTTGGACCTTCTTAGGATCCATTATAAGACCATGGTGATCTTGTTAAGTCCTTGATAGTCTATACACATCTATAAAGATCTATCTTTTTTCTTCATAAATAAAATGGAAGATCCAACTGGAAATTTAAAATGTCGTATAAAGTTTTTAGCCAAATTTTCATCAATGTATTCCTTAAATGCAACTAATTCATTTTATAATAGACTATAAATTGGTAAAAATAATAGTTGAACTTCTTGAAGATTGACAAAATATTCATTAAAATAATATTTTTGAAGAATATCTACATATTTTTTTTAATAATATCTTAAAAATCTTAGTATTGGCTTAGAATGCGACTTGAAATCTTTTTTCTATCAATCATAGATATCAAATATATAGCAAAAGTTGATCCTTATTTTATAACATGCATAAAAGTCCTTGTACATATTAATAATAATTTGAATATATTGGTATTAAGGATTTTTACTTACTTAGAAAAATCTTAGACTAGTCTATGGAAAAAATCAAGGTTGCAAGAAATCCAATACCTTTCTAACTACAATAATCTTAAAAAAATTGAATTAAAAGAAAATCTAATTATATTAAATATTACTAAACTATTATGACTATTAGTTGTTATTTTTAAAAGAATAATTTCATGTGTAATATCTCCAAAAGATAATGAACGACTATCTATTATTTTTATAGGTACAAATTTTATTTTTTTAATTATAGATATATCTTTTTTTTGATAAAATCTTTACCTATAAAATAAATTGAGGCTCTTAAATCTATAAAGGCTAAGATTTTGTAATTTTTTGGTCCTAAATAAACTTCTATGATAAAACATAGTAAGGGATTCGAAGAGAGAATATGATCTTTATTAGGAATTATGCAAGATTTCAAATCCACAATGTCAAAATAGAGAGAATTACCTCAAGAAAGTGTAGGAATTTTGATTGTCATTAATTTCTCAATCAAGTCTGAAGATAAGAAAGTACCAAGTTTATATATAAAATTGTCCCTATAGAGATAATTATATCAATATATAAGCCCTAAGTACTAAAGAACATCCAAAATGTGATAAAAATATTCTAAATACTTATATATCCTTAAAGTGAATTTTTTCTAAACTTCAACATCTTGTATTTCATGATCAAATAGTTCAAACAAACTAAAATTTTATACAAAGTATTGATGTACTTTAAACAACTACTAAAACAAATTTCAATTACAAATTTATTATAGATCTTGAAATATTTCTAAAATCATAATAATAGCTTCAAATCCTTATTTATATATATTTTTATACAAATTTCTTCATATCTCATAAGCCAAGTATTCAAATACCATAAAATTTTAATATATAGCTTTTTACTTAATAATTCAAATCTTAAAAAATTTTGAGCCGAAAATTCATTTGAAAATTTAAAATATGGCTTCAACTATTACTATCAATAAAATGACTTATTTAATATCTTTGAATTATATGTCCTATTTTTAACATCCTATAATTCCTTCATATAAATTCTAAATGTAGCAATTCTTCTATAAAAGATATAGGTTTTGAAATTTTTCTTGTGACCACATTTTTTGATTTCTAAAAAGAATTATAAAACTTCTTATATCGAATTTTACATATGTTGTTGTATGGCATGATTTGAAATCTAAGCATACATGGAGTATCTAGTTGTAGAGAGTTTAGTTTTAACTTATTTGATAAGCTCTAATAAGTGATTTATTCCACCTTTAACTTATATACAAAGTCTTGGCTCCCGAAACATTGTCACTTTATATTAAATGCCCAAATTGTAGCAAAATCTCTCAAAATATATTTTTTGTATAAAGGATTTTTTCTTCCTAAACTTTAAAAATTCATATCTCTTGATTCAACTATTTAGTTTCTTTTAATTTTTTAAATTTTGTAGCACTTAATTTTAATTTTTACCACAAAAAAAAATGAACTATAAATTTACTACCAATCTTTTGATATTTTAGAAATCCTGGAAGATGCTCTTAACTCTAATCTATAAGCACCCGAGTAATATTTTTTTTTATATCTTAAAAACCAAAAACTCAAATACCACAAATTTTATGCATATAGTTTAACAACATGACTATACATATCTTTAGAAATTTTGAGCTAAAATTGTATCAAATTATTCAAGATATAGCTCAAAACAAAACTACTAGTGAATTAGATTACTTACTACTATTAGATTTGAAGCACTAACTTCAACTTCTAATATCTCCTTCATGTTGTTGGATAATGGATATTGTCAATTATAAAGTAGGTACTTGAATTTTAGATACTTGTTTAACTCCTTGAATTCCAACCTTATTCTTTCTCCTTTCATTTTTTGTAAATAATCTCATAGCAACTTCAACTTCTTTCTATTTTGTTGTCAATCCTTCATCTTCTTCTTTATCTTTTAAAAGAATTTCCAATTTTTCTTGCAATTTTCTATTAGCTGCTCAAAGAAATAATTCAACCTTGTTTGATTCTATAATTAAATTTTTTATCTTTAATAATCAAGAATATTGCCTCTCAAACTCTCTCAAAGCTCCAAAGCTTGCAAATTCTTATTAGGTTCTTCAACCCATTTCAAAAATTATTTCTTGGTAATCGAATTAGTGTCCTTTAAAAAATATTTGTTCTTTACTACATGTAAATATGTCTCCCATGAATCTCTCAAATGCTCCATAATTGATATAACATATTTTCTTATCTTCGATGTTATAGCAAGTCCAAATAGCTCAATCATCTTTTTTTTGGAAAACCAATTCAATTCTATTTCCTATATATAACATCTTAAATACTTTGAAATATCCCTTCCATCAAATTGGTCAATTTTGTTAACCATTGCTTGTAATGCTTTGGTTGCCAAAGCCTCTTTGTTATCATTGCTTTATTGCTGTTGCATAAATAATGTAAATGCTTGAAACATATTTGCAGTATTTGGATCAAAGTACATACCTTATCCACTAGTACAAAATCTACTTTAAGACTTAAAATTAAATTTTAAAAAGTTTCAGTAAAAAAAGAATGAAAAAATAATGTTTACTATTAATTAAATTTTATGTTCTTACAATCATTTTACATTAAAGTATATACAAGAAACTTTAAATAATAACCAAAATATTGATAATAATAAATCTATTTTCTCATTGACATATCAAATAAGAAATACACATGTATATATATATTACATAAAAAAATAATTACACATAATAAAATTTAAGTAATATATAGATATTTAAAAAGTCATTATTTATATCATTTTTTTATATGTATGTATATATGTATGTATATATGCATGTATATATACATCCATATATATATATATATATATATATATATATATTTATACTTATAAACCATTTTTTAAAAAATAATTAAAAAATAATATAAAATAAATTCTTATTTATTATTATTATATATATATATATAATTATAATTATTATTATATTAATAAAGAAAAAATAGCTTCTTTCTTAATTTTTATAATATTTTGTAAGATTTTTTAAAAAATCATTTAAATATATGTCTATTTTGACTATTTTAAAAATACCAAGGCACAACTTTATTCATTGAATAATATTTTTTATGTTTTATTGATATTATTTCTTAAGAGTATCTAAATTTAAAAATACTTCTAGACAAAACATAATTAAAGCTAATAAATTTCAAAAGCTTTCAATAATAGTTCAAATTAAGATTAAGATATATATTCTAAGACAAAATATTTGACTATTATGTTCACAATTCCGACATAGTTTAGAATGACATTAAAGTGCAATCAATTGGATACTCAATAATTAAATGAGGGTTGTGTCACATAGTATTTAGTTGTACAGTTTGGCCCACACTTAAAGAATATTAATTTAGGTCTTTTTACCAAGACAATAAATATTTGTCATTTTAAGCAACTAATTGTAATCTCTATAAGTTGGTTGATGTAAAAAACAAATTGTAAATAGAAGTTGATGTTCTTTTTGTGTGGATTTTAACATATATATATATATATATATATATACACATATACATTTATATTAAGTGAGAATTACTTAAGCCTTTTAAACACCATTACTAAGTATTATAACAATAGATGTTTAAAATCCTTTTAAATTTAAAAGGTTTAGGGTTTAGGGTTTAGGTTTATGGTTTTAAATCTTTTAGGTTAATTATAAAATTATTATTATTAAATACGATATAAATCATATAATTAAGTTTGATGTGCATCAGTTTGAAATTGGTAAAGAAATCTCGTAATTTGTTAAAAGAATAGGAAGTATAAAGTCTGCATTTAAGTATACATCTTCCATTACATTTGTTTAAATCAATAAATGATTTTATAATATTAAACTATTCCATCAGAAAATTCGACCTACATTGAGCATGTAAGAAAATGCAATGTATGTAATATAATTATCACCTAAATATTTGTATATCCTGATTGTGTAACAAAGCTCTGACCACTACTTTCTACACTCGTTTATCCAAATCTAATGGTTTAAGCTTCTCATATTCTTGAACTGACATTTACTTTCATGCAGCAAATAAATCATACAATGCACGAAAACAATCCTTTAGAATGTAAATGTAGAAGTTCACATATTGATAAATGCAAGCAAGTAAAAAATTATAGACATCAGAACACACAAAAAACAGTTGCACAATTCATGAATTAATCAAGATAAGCTTTTAAAAAGCTTGTAAATTTGTGCTAACTTAAGCTTGAGCAAATCCGGTCACCATCTACCCACTACAAATCAAAACCATCTCCCTACTGTGGAGATTAATCAAGGCATTCTGTTTAAGACGAATTCTATGGTAACTGCCACATGCAGAGGATCTATGCATAGTGACAAATGCAGAGGATCAAGCAGTGAAGTTAAAAGTTGTGTCATGTACCTGGCTTTGAAAATTGGTACGCTTCCAAAGAACCTCAGTATGAAGAATATCCTGGAACTTGGCTAAAACTATGAACGTTTCTGAATGCATCCTACTGTGACGTAACAGTACCAACCATACATGCATTATGATGCACTCAAAAGATAGCACATGGAGTATACACTGTACTTGATTCTAGAATTAGTACTCTTGACTGGTCAAGAACCTGCTTCCAGAATTGATCTGTAAATATTTATCAGATGGAACGAGGGCTGTGAAGCCTCATAATTGCTGATGAATCTGACAAGACCCAAAGTTCCCACTTTGCCGTTTTCAATCCACGAATCCTGCATGACAGATTTGCGGATTGTCCCAAAACTGGAGTAACTTTTTTCTTTATCAAGTGGATGTGAAGAGTTGTGTGACTAGAAATTGGTCTTCTCATTGCCAGATTGAAACTGAGTCCACATGCACAGGAGAGATGTTGGAGGTTGGGACTTGATATCTCAAGTCAGCGAGACGCAGGCTTGAATGAAGATTAAAGCGATGCTCAAAGCTTAGTCGGGGCGTTCCATCTTGCTCCACACTCCAAACACTCACGTATAATTGAATCACATGGCGGCGAGAAGTTGCTGCATCACTGATCACATTTTAAACCTGTTTCAGAAGGTGGATTAACTGGCATCTGATGGTCACCAGAATAAAAACAAGATACAAATTACCCTATTATTACAACTATAAGGATTATTGTTGTTATCATCTTTCATATGCGGCTGGTCTTTGAGGGGAAGATTGAGGATTAAACGACGAACCTTGCCAGGTGGGCCTAGGAAGTCATAGCATTCTGTTGTGGTCATCTCGTATCTTTTTCCATTTCCGGCTGAGTCAATGGGCTCATCGCAGTCTGTTGATACCTCGAGATCTCTCCCCGCTTCTGTTGCGTGGGAGTTTGTACTCATTGGAGATGACTCTTCTATTAGCTCACAAAACTGCTCTAAACGGGGTGACTGCAAGGCGCTACTTGGACTTTGATCCAGAGAATCTGAATCCGAGGTGTAGGTTGAGCATTTCTCAAGCTGCGAGTATGAATCAGTACCCCTTCGCAATGACCCATCGATCAAAGTCATGGCTGCGCTCCACAGCGTGGGTTGTTTATAATCGCACGCATCTGCTCGGGCTGAATGATGTTGCTCAGGGGTTGCCCAATCATATTCATATACCTCCTCTCGGCTCTCTGATTCGTCCTTTATCCTGCCCTCTGTCCGTTCCAAAGGACATGGATTCTTTGGTAAGAGCCACTTAACACAATCCAGCACTTGAAAATGGGCTTCTGACAGTTATCAGAATCTGTTATCACTAAGATCTAAGGTAATTATAAACATACATAGAGTAATCCATGATTTTGTTGTGAAGGGTACTTGCCTACGTCTAAACCGAATCTCTGAAGTTGATCCGAATCGTGATGAATCGGCTCTTGTGGTGCGTTGCAGTAAGCCCTATCCAAGGCGTTTTGAATGCAAATAAGCAACCGATTCAAATAGTAAAGGAAAACAACAAATACTACAGCACACATGACCAGATGCAATTTAAGTGCATGAATACATACAGACACGGAAAAGCTACATCGTCGTTTAAAAATTGTGAAAAAATCGTGGAGAATTGCAAGCAGTGTGAGGATGAACCTTGTTAGATCTCGATCGTTGTCAGAGCAGTTCCATTTTTCAGGTACAAAAGCATCAGCAGGCAGTCTTCTCCAGCTTCCACAGTCATCGCACTTCACCCATTGACTCTCCCTAAATTCCAAAAAATCATATCAGCTGCAAATTGCAAACCTGCACAGTAATTGGTTTTCACTCCTCATGGCTAGAAGTCTGACGCAATCAAATTGGTTGCATGTAAATCTTACCCACGTGCTTCAAGGCTGCAACAGGATCTTTTGATAAGAATTGGAGGTTTCTGCAAATAAAAACCATGTTAAAGATGGATTTGGGAGCGAGTTCTCCTCATCATGAAACGTTAAAAACATTTCAATACAAAATTTGAAAACAAATACAGTTAAAAAAGACACAGACAAATCAAGAGTTCGATTCTGAACTGGATTCTCGAACAATCACCTCGTATTCTTCAAAGTCATGACCTTCAATAGTAACAACTGATGGGAGAGCACCCGGAGCTGGTCGAAGAAGATCCTGTGTGTCCTTCCATTCTGAGTACTCGTCTACGTTTACCCGCAACCTTTTACCCTTTGAGCCAAGCACCCCTGATATCTTATCCACATGCTGGGGGGCCTCTGGAGAAACAGACAGTCTGGTCGTTGATTTTTTCTCAACTAGAGCTTTGTCTGCTGCCAAGTGATCTACAACCTCGGTCCGTTTTGAAAGGGAAACTGGAGGAAATTCCTTCTTTCTCTTCCTCTTACACTGGCTAGTACCTCTTTCCGAAGCATACTTACAATTTCCTTCATCTATTGACATTGTCACGGGTTTTTCTTGTGGGTTTGCAAGTTCATCAGGAGATGGGCTCCAGTCATTAGCAAGGCATATTGGCCCTCCATTTGATTGCTCTCTTCTTTTGGACTGGTCCTGAGAATCACCACCATTAACAGCTTTCATGTGCTGAAACAAAAGGGGCTTTATCAGAATCTCATGCTAAATCATCAGGTTATGCAACAATGATACTTGTACCGAAATATGTCAAAGAGAAGGTATCTAACCTTTGGTGGTGAAGGCTTCTGCTTGCGAAATCCCATGAATAATGTTCCTTGTGGCTCCAACCTGCTGAAAAAGACTGGAGTGCAAGTAGCACATGCTAGTTATCATCAGTTTATTTTTCTCGTTCGAGATCGCTTGAATACACTACAACTTCGGCGGCAACAACTTTGTCTTGCACAGAAAATGCCATCACAAAGCGGTGTGGCTTGCAATTCATGGTACTTTTGAACTGCCATGAATTAGTAGGAATCCCAAAATCTCATCATGGGATTAAAACAACATTAAATGCAGTGCCTCTCAAAAACTTTATCTATGATTTGAGAATATGGTTTGAATAAACGGGATTATTATATTATGCAGCAGGATTTAAGAAAAGGGTTGAAACTAGTGGAAGCCATGAGACGTCTGTTCCAAAAGAGGTGGACAAGTCGCACCTGTGTCACCGCCACATAAGTCTGTCGATTGAACATATGGGTAAAATTTCTTGAAGTAGTAAATTCGACTCTCCTTGCTGTGCCAAAAGCAGAACTCGAAGGACCATTCCTTTCCCGCGGCATCCACAAGTGTCATCCAAATACCTCCTGGCTTGTTGATTGGCGGAAAGTGTTCCTGTTTGGATACTCCGGAGTTTCAGTTATCGTAGCAATGCACATGCAGTAATTTATGCTCAACCCAGAAATGAATGGATTTTTAATATATCCGCAGACCGTAAACCAATAAAGATCAAACACCCACCTCTACTTTTCGTTTCGGAAGGACGAAATGTCCAGTGCTTCGACAATCGGTGATGCTAGCCACCTTGTCAAAAAGGAAGGTCATGGTCGTCCCTAAGCTAAAACTTGGTCAAAGTAAAACTGAATATTAAAGCCAAAAATATTATGCATCGAAAGCGTCAAGGAGCTCTAAGCATTTGAACAGTATCTCGAAAATCTCATTCAGCTCAGTGTGTTATAGAATAGAGCCTCACGAGATAATTACATTCTATCAACGACAAAGGAGGATACAATTTCTGTGAGGGTTGAGGCGAGTTCAAGTTGCTGATGCGGAGGGCATTTATAGAAATTGATCGAGGCAGCGCCATCGTACCAGGCCTTCCCTTTCCATCTGAAAGTACAATGTTGTCAGGGGTGCAAATCGAGAAGTGCAAATTTCAGAGCCAATCTTTCACCCAGAATACATCAATCTAGGTTGTAATCAAATTACAAACTCGTCTGAAAAATATAGCTGATAATCACAACTCTCATCAAACAGGATTCGGGTGCTTACTTAAAGTTGGTCCTCTGTCGTGGGATGATGTAACCAGAAGCTCCTTCTTACGCTCGCTAGGATTGCGTTTGATAGATCCTCGTATTTGATGTTTGGGTTTGCTTGAACTTTTTCCCAAGACGCATCCAACCAATAAACTAGCTCCACCTGCTGGTTTCGAGACTGTGTTAATGTCGCATACATGATGGCCTAGAACTGCAAAAATAAAATCCCACGTTTACAGAGGATTTGGCAAATAAGGCAAACTGAAATTGCGCCTCAATTACTGTAGGATAACACAAATCAGGGTGTGGGTCAAGGTACCTGGGACCTGGCAGGTGGACAACGTTGATGCCAAAGCGCTGGAGCTTTTCTTTGTGATGTCTCCATGGGCAGGGGTTGACTTTCCGAACGATGACTGAAAAATACCTCTTGTGTCCATGGGCTCCTCCCCGCAAGGAAGTGCGATGTAATTGGTAAACTGCGCATGTCTGACTCGGGATTGACTCGAAGACGGGAAATCACCGGTAAGCATTGGCTCTTAATTCTGGTTCCTTCCCGAAACTTCTATCACACAATTTGTAACTTCCTATGTTGCAGCAGAGCTATCTTTTCTCATCTTCGAAAAGCCCCTTCAGGTTGTGAGGTGAAAGCCGATGTTGCCCTCAATCTACAGATACTCTTGCCTGTTACCTTTCCATTTGTAATTGGTTTCATGATGTAGTCTGAAGCGTGTTCCATGGTCTTCTGAATCTCTATGTACAAAAGGTAGCTGTTGTAATCAGTAAACTAAAGACAATTGTCATCTTCGGAGGGACAGTAATATTTCAAATGACTTCTATACTCCTTCACTCAAAAAGAGCATAATAGTCTACCCATGACACACAGCTGGTAAGGATGCACAAAAAGCTTTCTCGTTATTCGGATTAGTTCCAACACCATGACCACTCCCCATAAATCCACATCTGCTCAACGAAGCAGGGAACGGGACAGCTTTGTTTCGAGGAAACAGGTAGCAGTCGCCTGTCGAAACACGCGCTGACCAGAACCTAGAAGTGGATGGCAATATCGACTTTGGATTCCGTGAGCTATTCATGCAGGACACCAACAAGTTCTTGCATCGATACCCTAATTATAGCTACCCAATCCTCTACAAACATACCTACTATCAAGTCCCTCAAATGTATTGAGTCGACTAAATCCTACGCTATGTTCAAAAGTGATAGACTAAGCTCTTTGTAGTCTTTATTTCTGACAGGAAACTATCTAGTGAAATGCAAAACCTAAATCCAGCCCCCAAAGGATCGCAGAAGATCGGAAGAGTTTTAGTTTACAGCGCCCAATTTCGAATCATGAAAATATGCAACCTCGACTCTCAGGGTGCGGATGATTGAACTAGACGGATGAAGTGCACTTTCTGACAGAAACAAGACAGCGATCTTGCAAGACGATCAATCTAGCCATTGGCAACGTCATGGAGGTTCACAGAGAACTCCATGAGTATGTAAATGAGCTAAATGCCCTGCGGGCCATGACGAGAATGGTCTTTAATCTTCATTTGTTGCAGTTGATAAGAGGTCAATTGCATATGCGGACATCTGAGGACAATAACCTTGTGCAGCTATCGGTAACTCATACCGTAAAGAATAAAACGCGCCAAGTCACTGTAATAGCGACCTCAGCACACACTCGGAGTGGATTATAATTGAAGACTTGATATGAAATAGGCTGTACCATCTTTACAATTTCATTTTGATGGATTCAATACGTGGTGATTTTCAGAGAGGCTACTCTTCAAAATCCAATGAGTATGAAAGGGAACATACTGAGGATATTAATACTGCATTGTCAAGATTATAAAGGTCTAAGTTAATTGCTAGCCGGTCATCTGATTCTTGGTGGCAACGACAAGAAGTGCTCAAAGAACATTTCTTCACGCTAATATGCAGTTGTTAGTACCTGATAAAGCTTCAGATAAATCTAGAAAATCGACATTAAACTCCGAGGGCACCATCGTCCTTTACCTAGTAGAAATATATCCTTTCGGCGGTTACCACACAGATTACAAAGAATATCTCTGTAGAAGAGGACAAACGGAGAATTCAAAGGCGTAGAAGGATCTGCGCCACCGAAGGACATAGAACAAGTGAGGTTTAAGCCACAGACGATGCTTCATTACGAGGACGTCGTAGACAACCACTATGAAAGTCCAGAGCGAAAGTTGCAGAAGCACCCACCGGAGTCCGACCATAGCAGAGCTCTAAAATCCACAAACTAATACAGCAGTATCTCTGCTCATTCGAAGAGATCAATTTTTTCTCAACGCAACACAAAAATCATTCGACAACGCACAGCCTCTTGGCAAAATACGGGCTCTCGGAGAACCTGCGAAACTGCATCCCGAAACTCCAACCTAAGTTCGTGGCATGCGACCCTTGGGGTCATCCCAATTCTCCACCTCCTCCAGTTTATCACGGCACAGGACTCCCCACCCCAACAGAGAAGGAGGAAAAAAAAAAAAAAAAAAAAAAAAAAAAAGAACCAACAAAGAAATCAAATTGAAGAAACACTGTATACATTAGTCATGACACCGATCATGCATCAATCAAGAGAGAACCGTAACCGGCAGACATACCGAATGGGGAGGTTTACAAGACCACTCCACCAAATCAACTGCCTGTCTCCCACGCCCAGGTGCTGGGCCAAAATGAAGAGCACGACATCAATGCTCGCTCTCTCTCTCTCTCTCTCTCTCTCTCTCTCTCTCTCGCTATGTGTGTGTGTGAGTGAATGTCTCTCGCTTGTGCTTTCTATCACATTGCCCCACACGCTGAAGGTGGGGGAAGAAGGGAATGGAAGGGAAGGGGAAGGGGCGGGGGCGGAGGCGGAGGCAGCACTATCATAAGGTGAGAAGGGGAGGCGGAAGTGGTTGATGATATTGTTACGTAAGTATTCGAGCCATAAGTGCGAATGCGTGGGGCAGTACACACCTGTGGGTTCCAAGAAGACACAGACGCACAGCGGCGATGATGATGATGATGATGAGACGAGCAGGAGTTGGGGCCGCAACGGAGAATTCCGTTACCCACTCAGGTAGACTGTCCTTTCTCCTCCTCCTCTTCCGCCTCCTCCCCTCCCTTCTTCTTCTTCTTCTTCCTCTACTCTCTCTTTCTCTGCTTGCTCCTCCTACAATTGGGTCTTCCCCTTCACTACCCACCTTGCTGACGCGCAAGTCCCTCTTTGCAATCTTGCCGCTCTGACTACCTGCCTGCCTGATTGTCTGACTCCCTCGACTTCTGGTGAAGATGAGTCTTCCAAGCAGGCCCTACCAGTAATCTCTTCAGCCCCTCATCCCAAACTGTCAGGCAAAATGGAATGTTGCTTGTCTCGGTCCAGAACTTGGCCCCTAGGCCCCATCCCCGTGCCACGAGCCCCGCTTTGTCCTGTCTTGGCTCTCTGGCTGCTACGTTGGTTGCCTGCTGTGTGTCGGTCTGCCAGGTGCCGTAAAGTATGTAGAGTGGTAGATACTAATGTATAGCTACGAATGGTATGCTTTGGTGGGTGTAGGCTTGAAGGGAGTAGTAAGTTACCACCTGCTGCGCTGCTGCTTTTGTTTTTTTGTACACTTGTGTGATCTGACACTCTTCTCTGTGGTGTTTCGTTAGGGCTCTAGGTGTGCATTTGGAAATAGGACTTTGAGATTTCTGTCTGAACGTTAGGAATGTCAGATGTGCAAGGCAGCTGTGTCGGAGAGTTAGATCTTGATGGATGACCCTGGATGCTGTTGTAGATGATGAGGTGGTTTTGTTTGTTGAGAATGAGCGGCGGGTGGATTCCGGGATTGGATTTATGAGATTGAATTTGGCCAGTAGGGTGGTGAGGTGGAGTAGGGCGGGGTCAGTATACTTTTTAGCTTGTGCGAAAGGAGAAGTAGAGCGAAAGGAATAGTGTTTTTTGTGGCCTAGGGGGAAAGTAAGGCTGCGGAAATAAAGACATGAACCTGAGCGAGAGGTAGTTCCTTGCTCACGCGAGCGTTTTGGAGGACGCCATTTCTAGAAACTGAACTGAACCGTTGTCGGACTATCTTGACATTGTGTTGTCGTGGCGCTGTTTGATAGAATTTCAGGTCCTGTTGGTATTGTACGAACCAGCGTTTGTCGATGAAGCTGATACGTATCACACTCTTCCGTGTGTTCATCTTCTCAAGCCATTGATCTTCATATTCTACCAAATTCAGTGTAATGTTCTTCTTGGTAAAGTTTGCATTCGCAGAGCATGAAATTTTTCGTGCTCTGGTTCCTATGAAGATAGACCCTTGTCTTATCGCGATTGGAGTGATTCTTGATTGCGACTGAATGTAATCTCGTTGTAAAGAAAGGGGAAGTGTTTTAAAGACGAGGAAGATGGGTAGTATCTTAAGGAAAATATCGATTTTGGCAAGGGAATCAGACTATAGTTAAGCGATTCAAGTAGACAATTTTACAAGTCACAAACTCTAATATACAATTACAAGGGCGATTTTAAAGCGGTTTTCATTTGCTGCTGTTTACTTTTAAGAACCAAGTTGAAATTTACCTCCTCTTGTTGTAGAGCACTCTGCAGTAGATTTCCTCCTGCTCGAGAGTGTCTATGCTGATAGACTTGGGTTGACTTGAAGGACAAGAACAAGCTGACAACACTCTGATGACTTTTGCTGCGGTGGTCCAACAGAATGACGATGGACGAATCTCAATCCTTCTGTCTCCATAAAACACCGTTCTTTTCCCATCACGAAGCGAATCCCAAAGACAATCTCGACCAGTCAACGTATTTTGAATCAATGAAGGTGAAATAATTTGCAGGACCTGGCTCGGTACGGACTTCAGCTTCAGGAGAGGGGGCATTTTTTGAATGTTTTAGATGACGTGATACTGTAAAGAAGAAAAAGCCATTTGGGAAGCTTTGTATGGGAGACCTACAGCATGAGTTGTTGTACACGTAATTTACCGAATATGCTGGTGTTAGTGCCCTTTCATCACGCTGAATTTTTAAGATCAGAATGCGGTTAGATAGTTTGGTGAATTTTGAGGAAACTTTTAGGAAATAAACGTATACGTGAGTTATTTTCAAGGCCAATGACGTGCTTCTTCGGCGTGTACGTGTTAAACACTATCCCCTTTGACTAGTTATAAAAAAGTTACATAAAACCGTGCATGCTAGGTTGTTACAACTGTAGCGCGATCAGTCTATAGTAAGGTTTCGAATGCCACTCATCTTTTGGAGTATGACCCAGCATTGATATGCTTAACGGAGTTCAAAATGTTCCATGGGTTTTGCAGGCACTGGGCGTTGACAAAAACATTGAAGGTGATTGTGAGATATAAGGTCATGGACCTTTATTCATCCTTTTATCCTTTAAATCCTGTAAATGTGATGTGCAGATAATGGATTCCGAATATGGACATAGGGTATGATATTTGTCTGGCAGGAAGGATCACGGTCAGTCGAGGGCTGGTGCCCGCAGTGAGACGTCGAATCCGAGGGGGATAAGAATTGTGTTCTTTCCTCCATCAGAGCTCTATCTGCTAATTTTCAGTATATCCTGGTAAAAATTTGTACTTTTTGAAGGCATAACGGAGAAGGCAATAGTTAACTCACCATACAGAGTCTTTTGATACCTTGTTGGATGCGAAATCTTTGAGGTGAAGACAGAAGGCTACATCTTGCCCTTGAAGTAGCCCACATAATATAGTTTAGCTTTTAAGGCTCTCAAGCAAAAGCGATATAATTTGAACCACAGAAGCGACTGTTTCGCTGTGTTTTTTGTAATTTTTACTTGTTTGATCAACGGGAAGCTGTGTTCATCAGAGAGGTGCTCGTGCGCTGCAGATTTTACATCTGCATTATGCAAGCAACAGAGTGCAGGAAATCGCATCGATGAGCATAGTGTGCACAGAGGCTCAGTCAAACTGCAATAGTGGGCAGCTTATCCAACAGCAGTCGCAACCTAGTTTGTCACATTCTTCAAGCAATTTGAATGATGCGACGCCCCCGCACGGTGAAGTTCCGACGAGGAACTTCTGTTTGGCACAATTTACTTCCCAATTAGCTGCAAGGTGGTATGTACCACAACAGTCCTCCATCTATACATCCGAACTGTTGCGGATTGAAAAGCATCAGAATGGGAGCGTCTGAAGGTCTACAAGGTCTGTGTTTCAACTCTTACCCAATTTTTAGAATACCCCACAATGGTTTCTGTATCTCAAAGTGATCAAATTTGTCCCTAGTTATCATTGAGCCAACAACCATGGTTTTTGCAACCATTACACACGTTTCAGGCACCTGGTGTAATGAAGTATGCTTGGCACAAGTTCATCTCAGCATATTAAAAACATTCAGTGCACTAACCGAAGGCAAATCTCATGAAATTTGTGACCTCCATAAAACTGTTAACAGTTTGATTGTCATAGTGACGTTCTTACTTAGCATGAACAAGTTCTTCTAACAGGATTGAAATCATGTGCTGAAAGTCTTCAAGGGATGGTCTTTACTAGTTTATGCTTGAATATTGTAGTAGATGTAACATTTTATTAGACTAAATTAACTAATGAACATGTTCCAACATAACGACAACACACCTTAGGTGTTGAATACTTGGAAAATATAAAAAAATTAGCATATTTGTTGGTTGATGTATTCTTTTAGATATTTAACTTGCCTTCAAATTTCAATTGCTAGTTCATAAAGGTTTTTCACCATAAATTTATTTTGCACATCCTACCTTCAAATATGAATTATATTTTAGAATAATATTTTAATGAATATCTATTTTAATTTTACACATTTTTATGAATATAACTTTAACTTTATATGTTTTTGTAGTTGATTGGTAGGTTAGAAACTTGGTCAACAAGTTTACATGCCATACATGCTAGTAGCTTAAGGAAGAAGCTAATTATATAGTATACATATAAAAAATTTGCCTTATAAGTTAAGACATGTGTTTAACAAAGTCAATACGTGTTGAAAGTCCTATAGAATAATACCACATCACTCTTAATGAGATAGTATATATAAAAGTAAGAGTGAATCCTTCTTTATTCTTATTAATGACTTTCTAGTCTTTATTTTTATTTCAAAACTTCCTAATTTTCTTGTTTTAAGCAATAATCATTCTATTTCAATATATTACTATCTTCAAATGATTTTTTAGTCTTTTTAAGTGACTCAAGAATATATTAAAGATTTCTTTCTTAAAAATTCATATTCTAGATAATTTGAATAAAAAACTAATTTACTATTTTTTTTTATTTTAGAAGTGATTAAATTATCTCACTTTTATAATTGTGTTTTGAAGATTATAAATTATCTATCTTTAAATAAATATTTTATTTTTTAATACTGATTTTTTTCTTAAAAAAAATAAATTACCTTTCTTTGTAGAATTTTTTGTTTGAAATTAGACAATGCGGATTATTTTCTTTTAATTTAATTTTTTGAATTTATTTGAGTTATCTATTGAAGCAAAGATTATGGATGCTATTCTTAGTGGAAGTGAAAATAGATTTGCAACTATTGCAAATCTTTATTAACTTGTCAATACTTTAAGAATAGAAATCTTACATATTTCTAATGTATATCATAGAAGTACTATTCCTATATATACAAAAAAAGTTTAAAGTTTATGCTAAGAAGTTGTATAGTTGAAGGAAGGAAGTAGATTAGCCTCACAACCAAATTAAAAAAGTTTTTACTTCTACAAGCTCAAAAGAAGTAAGAATTAGTATGCCTAAGAAGTTTGATGGAACAAGATCAAAATTTTAAAGATTTTTGCAATAAATTAAGCTCTATTTAGAATTTCATCTTTTCCAATATTCCAATGAATTTTCTTAAGTTGGATTTATAAGTATACTTTTAATGAGAAGTCCTTTCTTTTGGTTTATACCTTTGATGGAAAATTATTCACAATTACTCTCTGATTTGATTTTATTCCTAAAAGTATATATGACTACATTTGGAAAAGCAATCAAGAAAGAGTAGTAAAGATCAAACTTATATTGCTACAACAAGGATCACTTTCAAATACTATATATATTACTAAATTTTAAGATCTTCTTTACAACATGGACTGGAATGACAAAGCTCTTATCAATCAATTTTAATATGGATTAAATGATAATGTCAAAGATTTATTATTTATAATGTCAAAGGTAGAATCTTCCAAATAATTTATCATTCAAGCCATTGCATGCAACAATCAATTATTTGAAAGATATTAAGAAAAAAGATTTGGTTAAAGAAAAACCAATTAAATAATGATTGCAGCTCTCAAATTTTTAGAAACTTATTTATCGAGGCCAGAATT